GAAAGGGTTAACATGATGTGTAAGTCCTATCCATGAACAGATGTCCCAAAATGCCAACAGGAATATGGGGAAAGGTTAAAGTCTGCATTAGTGAGTGTACACAAGTTTGCCTGTCATCAGCTTGGAATGGGTAGTAATAGAACTGATGTACTTATGTGGTGCTTGAGTATGGCTGTGATACATGCCAGCAGCTTGGATCCACCTGGACAGGTCCTTACTTCATGTTCCAGCAGAGTGATCAATTGACATACATGTTACAATGGAAGTGAGGCATGCCAAAATGTGTTGAGCATGTTGATAAACTGCATCTATACTAATGAGTCAAGTGAAGATGCCACCTCAAGTCCATACTGACTCACCCAACAAAGAAGAAAGAGCTTAAAGTACATATCTGGCTGTCTACAATGAGCCAGATGAGGAAACACTGGAGTAAGAGGCAAATTACAACTCCAATGGTTATCTTGGCCACTGACACTGACATCTTGATTGATATGGCTAGGATTAGACAATCATCAGAAATGTGGACAGCTGGAGCTAGTAGATGTAATACCTAGGAGATCAACAGATTGCACATATGAAAATGATATCTAGGGGTTTGAAAACTTAGTTGAAAAAGTGTTACAACTCTTGCTTTCTGAGCTGAAAGGTAGCATGGTAAGGTACAATGTATGGACTACTTCATTAGATTTACACAGTTGGGACAATTTGTCTATTGTAAAATTAACAGAACCAAAAGGCCTCTGCAATTTTAACTTTCTGACCTATTGAGCGGAGTTTTCCAAATGAGATATCTGCCAAATATCAGGTATTAACTTCTTGATTATAATAAGCCAGAATTTTCATGTGGTTGAAGAAATCTAGAACTGAAAAGGTGTTGCAATACTTGCTTTCTGAACCACTGAATTAATTTTCTGAGGAATTTCAAGAGAATCACTCACCTGATCTAGATCAGTGGTGGGTACTCTGTGAAGCAAGCCACCTACTACCCCCTAGGTTTTTCTCCATGTACCTGGAGAAAGTATAGTGATTCTACATGCATTGAGGGAGTTGGGTTTCCCCTGAGTATAAGTTGACGTAGAGTAGTAACAGCACAAGTATTAATCATGACTAAAAAGAATCTTAGCAGAATCTCAGCAAGTCATAAAGTGGACTTCATTTTAGCAACATTTGTTCCTTTGTTATTCTCTAGAGTTAATGCCTGTACTGCTGTGGAGTGAGGAAGTATTACTGTAATGCTGCACATTTTACAATAATATAGACAACAGAAATGTTCTTCACTGCTGGGCCAAATGGCACTTCAAGATTACAACCTCTTCAAAATTTAATGAGAATGACCAGTCACGTGGGTAGTGCTAGTTGAAATGGATAATTCCAATGTTTTCTATAATGTAAGAACATTAGATTTAAACAGTTTACATGAAATCTCGAGTTGGTTGGTTGATGGGATAAGATCTTAAGAAAGAAAATCTGTTGATCAATTCATGAGTCCAGCAAAAGGTGGCTATCCAGTGTCCAATGCAAGCACGTATATTGTGTTTTGTGTCTTTGAATAAATAAAGATTTTGCTCATTGTGTATTACAGAATGTGGCTTTTTCTCTCTATTTATTAGCCTAAACTCAGTCAGTGTAGACATATAGCATCTCTGAGTAATTTATCCTGCCAATCCTCCCATTATACAGCAGACCTACTAATATTCTTTGAGGAAATCAGTTTAACCTTTAGTTGTTTATACTAATACTGTTGTCAATGTTGTAAATGGCAATACTTCACCTGTAAGCACCTGTGTGACAAAATTAATAGTACCATTGTAATTGAGAGTAATTCGTTTTTAATTACATATTTGTCTGTAAAATATAGAGATTTAGTTCCAAACAAAATTATTTCAGTTAACTACATTATTTATTATTTGAGTACAATGCATTATGCACACACACTGTTATTTGTCACACATAATGATAAAGTACTGAAGGACAGTAATTATTCATTAACTATATTGCTATATTGTTATATACAGAAAAAGAAGTTGCATTATTTTAACTACATTATCTTTGGTTTAATGTAATCATAACACAGTACTGTAAAACAAATTATTTACTTTTGACAGTAATGTTAGCTGATAAACATTACAGTAGTAAAGATGAAGTATAATGTTTAACTACACTGCTATATGTGAAAGAGAATAATACAATGCTAAATGACATTATTCAATCATTAACTATATTATTATTTGTCAGTGGTAGTAGTTCGCTGCTAGTGCTTCCTTTAAAACATGATAATATATCATTAGCATATGCTCATATTGTCATTCATTTGTCTGTCAAACAATTCTGCACAGTAGCTATAGCCTTCATGAGTAGAGTAATATAGTGTATGTCATCTTTTATTATAACCAATTTATCTGGTTGAGTGGCATTTCTAAAAACCTACAATATAGACAAGTATCTCAAATTATAAATTATACCAAAATGTTGTTAAATTTTTGTTGATTTGTATTTAGATGGTGAAAAACCAGAAACAAAACTGAAACGACTTGAAGCCAAATATGCTCCTTTACAAGTTGTCACCAATATTGAGCGGTTTGGGACTCATAAGGTAAGATTTTTTTTAACTACAGTTGTTTGCTTTAGCATCATGTGAATTCTATTATATAATTTATTATTATTGCTCTGTTTTACATATATATAACTAAAAAAATTGCTTTTATATTTTTCTTTACTCATTGTTGCTAACACAGTTATATTATCGTACCAAATACAATAAATAAATAAATGTTTTTATCAAAATACAGATCTTGAGTACATTATATTAAAATAGTTTTGGAGCATCATTACAGTCTATTTCACCATGCACGGTTATGCTCTGTTTGGCGACCTTTCACTGGACTCTTTAAATTATCACACCTCAAAACAACCTTTCATTACATCATGGTAAAAAAGAAATGAGACTGTTTTTTTTGCATCTGAAATATAGCTGATTGATTTAATCAATTACTTGTGAGCAGCTATTACATTGATTAGTATCACATAACTCTAGTCCATTAATAGAAATTACAATCAGATTTATTAATGTCATTAAAATAATCAACTTTTCCAAAGTAGTATTTCTGATTATGCCAACACTTGATTAGTTGAAATTACAGTTAACCCTTTCAAGACGAGTCACGGGTGAAAGGCCATGTCATCTCGTTTATTGACTTCCATTAAAATTTTATTGAATTACTATTTCATGAACTTATGTCAGTAACTTTGTTATCAAACTGTATATTATAATTCAAATGTTAGTACTATATATTACTCAATTTCTTAATTCAAAAGCAAATATTAAAAAACACGGATAAACATCGATTTTTGTGAGACACGTGGTATGTTGAGTGCAGCACTGGTTCAAATTAGACTTCTATATATGGCATGAATAACCAATCGGTAGCTCAGAATGTCCCCTAATGGCTCTCTCAGCCATTTTAACGGTCTTTATGCAATTTCTTTTGAACCAGTATTTCAACGAGGTAGGGTGTGTCTTTATTCTGCTCGAAATTTCATATTTTGTTAGACTAAAATACATCTTAGTTACTAAGCTTGATAAATTATAGTGGAATTCTATGGTATTAATGTAGTAATTAATGATTTTTTAGTTATTCAAATGTATATATGAAACCTAAAAAAAAATAGTTTGTTTCATATCCTCCACGTGCAAATTTTCTAAAGGCTTAGC